ACCGGTATGTTCCTGCATTTTAAATCTGTAATATCTTCGAAAATATTCATTTAAATGACATGCTGTAAAGGGCCATATTGATCTATATTACATGCACAATGTATTTAAGGTACTTAATTGGATAAGGTAATTAATGCTGTATTGCTTAAAATCACTTTTTCGTAAATAAGCCATTATTTTCTCGTAATAAGTAATTAAAAAATGGTTATTGTGGGTTATCCCTAAAAGATAGATATGAACCATCCCAGACTTTTTTCTAGAACTTTTTAAGGTGTACAATACTGTAGTACATTATTTTGATCTATCCCGTAGGGTTTAGCCAGAAACCAGTTAAAAACCTCTAAAAATATTATTGTTTCTCTACTATATTATGCATGTATTATACACATAAACCTTCCCCTTGAATCACTCTATCTATTAAAAAAACCGCATCAAAATCCGTTGCGTAGTTTTAAAGATCTAAGCATACATAGGGACATAGGGACAGACAGCGGGAAGCGACTTTGCTTTATACTATGTAGTGATTAATTTTAAAAACAAACAAATGAGATAAAGAATGAATATTTTTTATTCAGAATGGGCTTGCCATTGTACGTATCTGAGAGATCAGTTGTTGGCAACGGTCCAACGGTCGTGATATGATTTCACTTTCACTTGATTTCCACTTACATCTCGATTCGATAGTAAAAGATTATGGCGTTATGGTGTCTACGTGAGATTTCAAGGATGGATTAAAATAATAAAGTCAAAGTTCAAACTTTCTTTATTCAAATTGGTTGCATAATAGGCACAAGTCTTTTAAATAGACCAATATTCTTTTAAGCCTACTCTATGGGTACGGCCAGAGTGCACTCATATTCAAATTCAGATTCAGACTCAGAAAACAAGCGCGAGAAATAAACAGTGTAGTTAAAGCAGGGTGGCCATAGTGGCAGCAGGCAACCTGCTTAAACTACACTGTATATTTCTCGCGCTTGTTTTCTGAGTCTGAATCTGAATCTGAGTGCACTCTGGCCGTACCCTATAAGAGGTAAGGCCTAGCAGATTTACTATCAGGTTACTGCCAGCCAGCCCAAACGCTTGTCTGATACCTACCCTTTTAACATAAAATAAATGTGTGCTCGGACCACATATCTGAAGTGAAACTAATTTTCTTAAAGATATATAAAAAGAAAAACCGACGGGTTGCACTCCGGGAGTGCCGGCAGAAGTGAAAATTTGAATATTAACGTTGTGCATTTTTGATATTTTGGAATGGTTAGGGAATAATTTTGCACGAATTGCTTTAATTATCGGTACAAATGTACTATCATGTATGTGGTAGAATACAATATTTATTTATTGCGCTAGCATATAGAAACATGACAATTTATATTACATTAAAAAAGTTTATCTCTCAGAAAAATCAACTTACATGAATCACGTTAAGCGCGCTGAGCGACATCTATTGCAACTGTCTTAGTGTAAATCAAGATTAGGTACATAAATATTCATTCATTAAATTTTGCATTTACTGAGTATCTTACATAATTAAAACTAGAGTTAAATCAGAAATTATTTTACATATAAACATAAATCAGTTCTAATATTACCGAAAATTAAACATCAACCTGTATACTAATAAAAAAATGTCACGGAACAGAAGGTATGGCAAGGTATGTTCCTCGCGTTACCTGGGTTAAAACCGTTCAAAATAACCTCGATAAGTTCTCAAAATTACAAACAACAAAAACCTTTAAAAATAATTGGCTGCGACAAAAATCACGAACCGTGTCAATAACATTATTGCTCTAACAAGACAATGGACGAAAAAAATCATATTATCGAGTTTGAAATCACGAAAGTGTGAAGTTTATAATGTAGTATTACAAAATCACGGTAAGACGCGTACCCGTACAGCCCGGAAACGCGCGCGGCTAGAATCACTGTGCGTCTCGTAGTAATCAGCGCGTGAATTTGTGAGCATGGGTGTACATGTACACCTTAAGTCATTAGCGGAGGCGGAGGTACATATATGTAGCTTTAAATTTGACCTCTTGGATCGAAATTTCGATTAAAACAAATCAAACTTGACTACAATAGTGCATTTTTTTATAATTAAGTATTCTTATCATTATTAAAATTAAATTTTAAAAATATTTATTTGCTATGTTTTCGCGCACTAAAATGTTTTAGTAAAACACGTTTGGATTGGTTTAAAGCTTGTTTATTAACTTTTTTCTATTTTCCTGACTTTTCGGATCTTTTACAGGCATCGTGCTCGCAACACAAAGTTTAGTCTTGCGAGCACGATGCCTGTATTTTTTTTTAATGAAATGGTGTTTTAATAAATTGTATGTATTATTAGTTATAAACATTGTCTTTTTGTACCCTTCGGTATAAAAAATTCAAATATTTTTTTATTTCACACAATGGGCAAAGCAAGTAGAGTAAAGCAAAGTAAAAATAAAGTTTTTACCCCTCTTTAATTAAATTTTGTCTCCCTATCCAAATGGCTACATAGCTGTAAGACCGCCAATTGTCCACCTTTTTAAATGATTGTCCTAACTTTGTACTTTATAATGTGGTGTGTTCAATAAAGAATTATCTTTTCATCTATCTATATTATAATGATGTGATAATGACATCCGAAATAGCAACTTAGTGTCGTTGCGTTTGTAAATTGGTATTATTTCTAATGACAAACAATTGAGTGAGTGTCGTGGAACACTCGGTTAAACGAAGCTATAAATATTTATATACCAACTACCAATCCGCATTTGACCCATGGGGCGAGTAATGGCCCGATCTCCCTATTCCGTTAAAAAAAATCGTCCAAGTGCGAGTCAGACTCCCGTACAAAGGGTGCCGTTCCATTATTTAAACAACAATTAGATACTAATAAATGACATATCATAATATTAAGCAATACCGCGAAAAAACATGTCTGTTGTATGTTTATTATTTATTTGAACTAAATTATTTATATTTATATTAAATACACAACTAAATATTCTGTGAATTAGTATTTCTACCTGTTTCGGTTATTAATATAGAGCATATATTACGTTTGTGTTATGGGACTCCCCTTAAATATTTATTTTATTCTGTTTTTAGTATTTGTTGTTGTCTGCAACAAAAATATATCATCAGTGAAAATTCTTGAGATACAGCCAGAGAGATGGACAGCGGAGTCTTAGTAAAAGGATCCCGTTTATGCCCTTTGGGCACAGAACCCTGAAAAAGTACGCTACATACCCGACTGGTGTAAATTTTCGCTTGGCCATACCGTGCGAAATGAAACTTCATTCCAAAAGTACAGTAGCTACTGTATTTTTCTATATTCCAACTAAACTTAAAGTTACCCGCTATCGCCTGTGTTTTGCGCGCGAGAGAGAAAGTATTGCATACTTACTTGCATTATGCCGTCAAGGGTTTCGTAACACCCAAGTGTGAATAATGATTCGTACTTTTAACCTTCTTCTCTTAACAATAGAGACTGTTTTACATATTCGGTGACCCACTTATTACCCACTGACTGCGATTGAATACACTAGCTACTGACTTGATTTTGCAATGTCACAGTGTGAAAAATTAAAAAAAGTTTGTATCCACAAAAGAAGCGCCACTTTTTTCATTTTTATTTTTCATAGATGCAAAATGTTAATGGAATTATTCAAATTTTTCTTGCAGAATCTTAATAATTACTTTAATTCATAATCTTCTTATTAATACGCGAAAAACAAACTTTTGTACATCATTTTTATGCATATTTAGCTAGTGGAGGATTATGAGCATTTGCATAATAAATTTTTTATACAGAAGAAAAGCAGAAAGCAAATATTTTGCATAATATAATGCAATAAAAATCTCGTCTGGTTCGTATTATGGACAGTCGCTGTATCGACCGTCAATGGGTTAATGAATTGACAATACCCCAAATCGATGGTACACTACATCGACAGTACACCAAATCGATAGTACGCTATATCGACAGAACAAAAAAGTTTTAAAGTATTTTTATTTCTCAGGTTTTCACGCACATCACTCATTGAATACAACAAGTTTCAACGTTTGTTGTTATATTCAAAGTATTTTTTCTGGCGCTTCGCCCGCCGGGTCGTACGTTATGGTCACAACACTAACCTGACTTAACCCAATGATTTTAATACTAAAGTGAAGTGAAATTTTGACTTTTTGATGGTGTAAAGTCAATATATAGCGTACTATCGATTTGGTGTTTTGTCGATGTAGCGTACCATCGATTTAGGGTACTGTCGATTATAATCCGTCGAAAGAGCATTTTGGATACAGCAACAGTCGATGCAGCGCTTGTCGATATTATGAGCGCACCCTTAGAAATCATAGAGCAACAGCGCGGGGTTGCATTCCTTTCGTGTTAATTTATGATTAGAAATACTTTAAATTCATGAACTAAACATATTAGCATTTTTTTGAACACACACTATCACTATTTGACAGGAAATTCTGACCGTTATAGAAGTATACTATTGTTAGACAATTATTGCCAAAATGTTTCACGAAATATCTCGTTTTTCTCTATTTCAGACTCTATAATATTTTTTATTTAATATTTATTTTAGTTTTATTCGGTAGAAGGTTGAGATGTTGTCTAATTCCTAGCTACGCATAGTGTTAAAATTCGTTTCTTTAATGTATCTTGCAAGATGATGATTTATTTTCCCGTGATTAAAACATCAATAGTCACCATCTTTAATAGATATAAAAACGATCTCAAGAAAAAGCATTTTTGCTTGATAATATTGGGGTCGGAAATAGTTTTGAAGTGGAGTAAAAGGCTAAAAATAATGTACCTACTCGTATATCTGGATGTGTGTATTATTTGTTAACATGACAGTAATAATGACATAACAAATAGAATTAGCCACAAAATGTAAACGATTATACCTACAAACATGTACGTCAGTAACACAAATTACGTTATCAAAAGGTCAGTAATTTATAACCAGCAGACCTGTAAATACAGGTCTCTCACTTACTTGCATTGTGGACCACCGGTGCGATCTCACTCGGCCTCTCGGTCGTATCTCTGTCGACACAGCACGCCCAGATCATGCCACCAGAGCAAAGGTCCAGGGGCTTCCCTCCGCCGATGACGCATGATATGCTTAGCCCGCAAGGGTACCTCGCCCCACGGTACCTACAGGTCTGCGGTATCACTGGAAAGAGAAACAGCTCGTTGATTTACCGGTCATTGGGTTCCAGTAACATGTCATGTTTACATAGAATAATTCGAAATCGCTCCCGTTTTTTGTACGCATAGATCTTTTAACCTATGTTCAGCAATACATAGAGTAATTCAAAATGAAGGATTCTTTATATAATACATGCTAGAAAATAAAAACCGAAGAGAAAAGAAGGTAATGATATAATTCCCAAATTGGAACACCCCTCTGGTAAAGCAATCTCTACCTTACAGAAGACCTCAGGGAAATAACATATCGCATTGTGTGATTCTATTGTTGAGTAAATGCCTGTCCACATCTCCACGCCACGACGTCCAAAAACCTGGTCGTGCAACGTTACCGACACCGTTTTACATTGACGACGTCGTGACTTGGAGATGTGAACTGGCACTAAGGTTCCAATGCTCCACTGGGAAGGGGATTAGTTTCAGGACGGCAAGGTCACATGGCCGAAACAGACTTATGAAACGCGATGCCACCCGACGCCACGGCACATATGTTGAGTCAAATCAAAAAGTACTGTTTACTATTATCATTAGGGACATGTGACGCGACGCGATGCGCCATAGAAAATACGCGTCGCGTGGCAAGGGGTGGCGTCGCGTTTCATAAGTCTGTTTTTGCCTTCAAGGCCGAAGGGAATATTTTTTGGCGTATCTTAAAATTGGACTATACAAGAAATAAATTTGTCTTATATAAATAGTTCGGCACAATTACGTTTAAGATACTATCTATACCTAATTACTTAGCTAAGTTTGCTGGGACTTGTATAAAAATAATCTAATACCACTGGATTAAGCAGAACATAAAAAACAAGACATTGGTGTTGATTCTGGCATGACTCTCCAAACATAAACTTTGTATGTATTAATAAGTGTATCCTTGCCATTTTCTATATATATATAGGTGAAACTGATGTTAAATTAAGTTTTAAGTTTAGAGAATCATGACAGAATCGACACCGTTTTCGGCCTTATTAGAAAGCGAAGGCTAAGGCTGGCCTTACACAGTCTAAATCAGAATATGAATCCATAATATGATTCACGATCTATCCCAGTGCTTTGACTCACACAAGTCTTATAAATTTCATGTTATCTATGGTTTGGTCAGTTGTCACGTGAACGTTACTAAATAAATATATTGTAAAGTGTCAATCACACATTAGAGACATTATATCAACTGATAAAATCCTAATCTAATTCATGTCATTCTACGTGAAAATATTACTCTAAGATATTGTAGGGCAAAAATTGGGATAGGTCTGGCAACCTATCTTCAAAATACAAACAAACTTCAAAATACAATATTTCAGGAAAATCCCAATTTGGTTAACAGAAATATATTTTTTTTTGCTCCTTTTCCTCCCTCCCCCCGTAGGCGCTTTATTATCAAACGATAATAGAAATAATAACAAAGATTTAAATCGTTTAATGGTGTCGATTCTGGCATGATTCTCTTAACCTAAATGTAAATTTGACAACAGTGTATCCCTGTCATTCTCTATACAGAATGAAAAGGAGAGACTGATGTTTCATTTAGTTTTAAGTTTAGAGAATCATGCCAGAATCGACACCATTAAACGATTTAAATCTTTGTAATATACCGGAAAATTGGGCGCGGCAGGCACATACTTGTGCATTAAGTATCTACAGAAAAAAAATACAGTTGACTGTGGCGACACTGGAGTTAGGAATATTGGAATTACTCATTAAGGTGTATTGATTGAACTCATCTGGTGGACTTATCAATATAAATTTAAAAAAAATGTCTTGGCTAGCATGTCCGTCTTGCATAAATAACATGGTTTTCGTACCATCCACGCACGGTATAGAAAATATGTTTCATGTAAATGGAAGGGTCAGGGGTTTTTTTATATTAGAAGAAGTGTTCTCAAACTATGATTTATGTAGTTACGCACAATGAAAAAAATGGAAAAGTGCAAGTCCGACTCGCCCAACGAAGGTTCCGTCCAAATTTTTAGATTGCACCTTAAGCGGCCGTTTCTTTTTACGTAAACTTAAAAGTGTTAGGTTAGGTTTTAGACAAAAGGTTAAAATAGAACTCAAACGCTATAATTAAGTACCTACGGGATAATTATTTTAATTCAAAGCAATGACATATGTGACAGCTACGGATGCATTCATTAATATGTAATGCAATTAGAAGAGTGATATAAGCAATTGTAGTTAAACGACCATGTGGATCTGCGAATCACTGATTACAACCGAAACAACGAGATTTGCACCATAAGGGCCGCGTTGTTTCATCTAAAGTTAAATTTGACTATAGTTAAAAAACTAGAGGAAAAACAACACAACACATTTAGGTATTTATGTTCTTGGCGTTAAAAAATTTAAAGGGGATTTGTTACGCGTTTCCATTTCTTATCCCTTCAAGTTTTTTATCGATAAAAGTTTTCCGGTAAAACGCAATAAACCGGTTTTGTCCCCGTTTGTGGTCACCTACTCTTCCCGAGCTCAAATCGCCCGTAATTTACTTTTACTTCTTTTTTTAATATTTTCTCTTCCTTTTGGCATGGGTTTCATATTTTCCACTTTTTAAGATTTGCAAAGGCATTGTACCTGATCTAGCAGTCATCATTGAAACCAAAGCAGTAGGTATCTAATATTGCTTAAGTCACAATTACGAAATGGTAACGAAACTACTACAGAGAACTACAGTAATAGCGCAATTACATTTGGTCGGTAGCACGTATTCGGGTACATGAAAGATATAACTCGAAGACGGAGTCGGTTAAACAAATGAAAATCTACCCGGGCGTAGGTACTTGACTCCTTTCATTTACACTCATACCGTACTTATATTTGGTCTGTAGGCGACGCACCCTTATTTTATAGAAATTAATATTTTATAATACTAAAAAAATTGTAAAAGAAAACCTTAGTTTAATTTTTAACACCTATCTACTGAACGTAATTGAAAACCGATGTATTTATTCATTGACAAATAAAGTAATGCGATGCCTCTGTTGCATTTCGGCCATTACAAGTGAGCTCAAGTAGTATCTCTTCGAACGCGCCATCTTTTTACCGGCATCTTTGTAGTTTTTGTTTCCATCCCCTATATGGTCGTTAGCCCGTATACGGGTGCACTAAGGACATTACTCGAATTAATAATAATAACGATTTATTTCCCAATTTCACAACAATTTTACAGAGTTCTAGTCCCCACACTAGTCTTAGCCTGTCCAGTGGGAAAATTCGAGCACCCGAAGCAATATTTACACTGAAATACGGGCTGGAAGACGGTGGCGCGTAAACAAAAGACAATCTACTCGAATACGGCGGGCGTACTGGAGCTCTATTTTTGAATCACTCGTATTGCGTCGAACGCTCGATTTCTACTAAATTTCATTCGACATAATAATTCCGTATTTTGAATCGCTAGAGTGAGACGAATGGGTGAGACCACTCGCTGCATGGCGAATGGTGGAAGCGAATGATAGAATAATTGTCAATTTTTTTGTGGTATTAGACGACGATAATAATCTATCATTGTCATGATTTATATGAAACTACAAAGAGCAGTAGTAATTACCGGTTTTTATTATTTCTGCGTGAATTGAGTAAAATTTCGTATTTCGTATCAAACAGGTAACACTGGTGACGAGTGATTCAAAAATACGGAAAATCAGTATTATGCAACTTGAAAGTCGAAAGTGACTTATGTCGCATTCGACGATACTATGTCAGACGAGTGATTCAAAAATAGAGCTCCTTGTCTCCGTTCATTTACACTCAATCGTTTGCCCGAATTAAATTGGCAATCAAGTGTAATCGCGCCATAATGCGTGTCCGATACGCACTTGGCTAACTGTTGATCACTGACATTGGACGATAAGATGGTTTTTCTCTTCTTTCACAAACGACAGCTTTTTAGTATCCGATCGGGACATTTTGCATATGGGGTTTTCTATGATATTTATTATTATAACAACGAGGAGGTTGATGCTACCGTGGTGAGGGCTTTCGTTCTGCAATAGGGTATTTGACAGGTTTTAGAAAGCGATCTCACGTAATTGACTAACTGTTTATGGAGTCCGTAAAAAGTGGATATTCATCATTCTGTTGTGTATCTCAGTAAAAATAACCAAATCAAAAACTCCATTTTCAAGTTGCCGCGAAAACGTTTCTCTGGACAATATGGCGTCTTACTAGTGTGTGACTTCACACAACTGATTTTAAAACGTCAAACGATACAATGTAATGTCACTTTAACCGGAGTTTACTTGCGTGTGACGTCATTTTAGGCTCGGCCAATCCCAAACGTGTTGGGTCACGTGACAATAGGTAAGAAAACTATTATCTTTTTCGTAAGTTTTTTAAGTAAAATTATGAATTTTCTTTTTGTAAAAATAGTAAAAACCCCTGCCAATATTCGTTCTAAACACAGATGCTAACAATTGACACTTTATTTTTAAAACTGTCAAATACCCTTTTATAGAAGTTAAGCAGCTTTCGTAGCATGAAAGAGTAAAATATTAACTGTCATAGGTTCCTCCGTGCTTCGAAAGACATAAGTCGTAGGTCGCGGCTGCATCTGCAATTATGATCAACAGCCACCACCAATCACCACTAAGCCCGTGTAGTGGGTCATGGCCCATACTCCCCATTCCATTCATAGTGAAGGTCAGTGCCCCAGCAGTGGGGATGTTAATAGACTGGTGATGACATACCAGGCTCAAAAAATGTCTCCAACTCTACTGATAAATTTGAAGCTTCATTTTGTCGGCCTTATATCATCATTGCCATATAGCAATAAAGTTTTTTTGTTAATTTTTTACGGAATCCCGCAGTGTAGTTTTTTATGAATTTTGTTAATAAAATTGCATCCTTTTTAACTAAGAAATATTTGAGGTTCCTATATCGACAGTAATAGATTACCTTTTTGTATTTTGTCTAATTGATTCACGTGCAGTTTTTTTTTAATTTTCATCAGTATCAAAGGATTGCTTATATTTTTTTTGAACTGTAAAGATGTAACTGGCAAAGTCTAGATGCATAATGAAACCGTACTGAAAGAACACAACTCGTAAGTGTTCAAAGTGTCAAAATTCATAAAACAACTGTTTTTTTAAAACGCTGTTCCATTTTTAAACATGAATCACGATTCACGATACGAATCACGTTAACCGCGCGCGCGTGATTACCATAAACAACGTAAGAACAGATCCATAAACAACGGCCGAAGATCACGCAACCGCGCGATCTATGGCCGAAGTGAATGGCCGATCGATAATAATTTCACTATTGGAGTCACTTTTACTATCAGTATTGCTGATTACAATGTAACAAGACGTTTATTTTTTACTCAGAACAAGAACTTAAGCATAAAAGGAATGCCAACGCGTTTGATCGTACATTCACATAGACGAAATGATGATAATTTACGAAACTATTTTTAAAGAAAGTATTAACCAACTAAAAAGTATAAGTGGTCTGTTGGCAAGTTGCATATGACAGTAGATCGCTTTTTGATTCGGTATCTCAAAGGTTACCAATGTATCCACAAGCCATACAAAGTATCCAATTTCACGTTTGTAAAGCAATACGCACACTCACAGAGGAGCTCGATGGCGCAAGTGGTTAGCGCGTTCGGCTGCGATCGTTGTAGTTAAGCAACATTCGCAGTGGTCGGTCATTGGATGGTTGACCAAAAAAATTTACTATATCGAGCTCCTCCGTGCTTCGGAAGGCACGTTAAGTCGTTGGTGCCAGCTGCATCTGCATTCCCTTCTAGTGGTCTGGAGGCTCCAGACGGAGAGGAGACTTCCCCCGTGGGGAGACGCCATCCGACTGGAATATATCCAGAGGCACTCGCCAATTCTAGGCTTGAGGTCCCCTTAAGATCTCGCCGTCCCCAAACCCGGTGACGCTGTAAAGGTCATCTGCGACCAACAGCAACACACTCAAAAAAAAATCTGCAGTCGTTAGCACCCACCAATCCACACTGGGCCCGCGTAGTGGGTCATGACCCCTATCTCCCTTTTCTATCCATAGGGAAGGCATATACCCCAGCTGTGGGGACATTAATAGGCTGATGATGATGAAGCACACTGTTCATAGTATGGTTCAGCTATATGTATATATTTGTTGCTTTTTTGGTCAAAGTATATAAAAGAATGAGATAACTACTTACTCGTATATGAGTCGACTTTATGAGTTGACTTTAAACTCTTTCTAGGCTTTAGTTCTTGTTCTGAGGGCGTGACTAAAAAGCTTGTTTGCCATCCTTTATATATATATTAAAAAAACTTAGACTTGGCGCCCAACGTGGTGTCAAAGAAGTTTAATTCTATAAAAACAAATTATCTAGGAAACCGCTTAAATTACAATCGACAGCGTAATGTATTTAAAAAACCGGACATGTGCGAGTCGGGCTCACTCACTCAGGTTGTTATCTATTTTTTAGTTAACTCAGAAGTTTGATTTTTCACAGCTTGAAGGGACTTTTAAGTACATTGTTTAAATTTCATCTCGATATCTCCACGCGATCCTTAGATATAAAGACTTCTTGACAGACAGACTAAAACACGGTCATATAATTTTTTCACATTAACTTAGAAGTTAAATGTTTTCACAGCGTCTAGAGACCGCAGATTACAGTATACAGTATGAATTTCAACACGATACCTCTACGCGTTCTTGAGATAAAGGGAATTCCGTTTTCTTTAACGGAACCCTAAAAAACCTATATTTTGGCGCCCAACGCGAACAGACAGAAGTTTAATTCTATGGAAACAATACACGTAGAAAACCGCTTACATATTCGTATACTCATCATGGTTATGTAAATATTTTTGAATTAGTCTTAGTAAATAAATTGTTTTGCTATACAAACGTTTATGCACATTAATCTAATTTCGACTATTTAAATTTTCATACCCAAAGCTATGCACTAGCACTTTATTCTCTATGAATAAATTTCTGTGTATCAGTATTAGTTAATGTGGGTAATAAACAAAATAGGTATGCAACGCGGTCCACTTAATAAACCTAATTATATTTTTACTTATTAAGTAGTACTCATATTTTACTCAACGATATGGAAAAGCTCCAAAAAAAGAATGCATTAAATTTGTGTTCTCTATTTAGCAAATAACTGAAAGTCTACCGAAAATTTTACACTGGCAATCAGAATCCCAAAAAGAAACCGATTTATTTATTTAGACTCTCGTTCCAATTTAGTATACCTATGTACTGCCGAAGCAAGTGTATCATAATAAAACTTTGTGACTGAGGGCGCTTTTTATATCAGAACTTCTTTGACTAAGACACGGTTTCTCTGCTGAATTTAGACTCTCACTGTGCATGTTTCACAAAAGGTAAGTACTCACTTTTTCCGAGCAAATCCATGATGGAATCGTCTTCCTGTGACGAGGAGTAAGAACTATGGTATGATCCTTTTCTTCTTCCTAAAGCGCCTAAAAGAAGTATGTCCTTCTCTTGTTCGTTCGACGGCCGCCGCCTATCGGAGGCTACCTCCTCTTTCAAGTCCAAATCGTCTTGCAACGTCAAAACGTCATTGTCCGCTTCCGAGCACATCGCACCGAGGATTCCCGCCAAAAAACAAAACACTGTCAACTTCCCAGGCGCCATGTTGCCAAAGGAGCGCACTCTTCTTCGAATTTTGAAATTTTTGACCGCCACCAATCCATCGAGCACGTTCCGTTCGCACATACCTAATTCACTCACTTTTTCACGAACATTGTTTTTTTTTTATTACAGAAACGAGTTTGGTTGTTTTGTTTTTTTTTCGCGGGACGCTCGGACGTCTGGCCGCGGGAAGTCTGCGATCGGAAGTAAGCGCCGTCTTTAGTCCACTGGCGCCGCGAGCCTCGCACCTTTTCACTTTCTGCTAGGGTTCCGTTAGCGTAAACATTTTCGACCAAAAAAGTTCGTAACACATCTCTTCAAACACACTGACACATTCAAAGAAAAATAGGAAGCTTATTATGAAAACTTTTTCCGGTAATTTATTTTTTTACTATTTTCGAAAGAGGTTTTATGAAACAATCGCGTTCGGCGACCACGGTAATTCGTGTTATTGTATAGAAACAATGGCACTGTCTGTCGGTTCGCAGGTGGTGTGCGTGATAAGTAAATACGATTATAATGACTTCTTGTAGTTAAAAAGACCACGTGGTCGCTAATTTTATCTAATTACCTAAATTTCGTCATAGTTATAGTCGGATTTGTATCTTTGATATTTATGTAACGATTTTTTTTTAATTTATTAAACATTAGTAATATATAGTATTGTGATAATGTAAGTATAGTATAACATGTAGCAAGTTTTTACATTCGCTTATAGATCTGCATTTATTAAAAAAATATGTTTAAAAAAGAACTATAAATACAATTAGTATTGTACATGCTCATGAATCAATCAATATTTTGACGATATGAAATACAAATTCCAGAAGTTAATATTGATCTTAGTCAATCTGGTTAATTTATTAAATTAAAATATCGTCTATTTAAAAAAGCAGAAATATAATAATCTGTTCATGTTCCATTTATCGGTTAGCATCGCCGGAAACGACTCAAACGGGTATCTTGTAGGACATTTTAATAAACCCTTCGCGCGTTTATTATTCTAACTCAGAGCATCAAGATTAAGTGGTCACACTTCGTATAGCATCAACTTTCGCCGTAACTTTCGAAAATGGAATAACGAGTGTAAGGAGGTATTAAACGATGCGGACTCCTCAGGCGATTTTCGATTTTACACCAATTATTTGTAGAGCTAGTTTTCATTTGATCGCATAATTTCTTCGGAGACAAAGTGTTTCTGTTAGAACTTTGCAGGGGAAATTGCACTTTTCATAGGTGTGTTAGAGGTGGTTTTTGTTGGCGGACTGGTGTGAGGTAAGGATGCTTGATTTTGGTGTAATAGTGGGTCTGCTTTCTTCCCTAATGACATCGGACACGGTTCATTTGTCAGTAGTGTTGCGTAAAACACGTGACTAATAAGCTTTTGATAGGACTGCGATTTTCCCACGCAAAGGTCGCCTGCGTTTTTTTAGAAAACTATGATTAATCTAGTTATATTTTTATTTTTTAAGCATTTAACTGCTAGATATTTAAATATGTAAAAAAAACTATAATATATATGTTCGCGTAGATATTTTTCTAGTAAACTTTTCTTTAGATTTAAATATGATTTATCTATTTTGCTTCCGATAATGAAAGGTTTTATTCCGTAAATGAATAATCGTGATATTTTTCTAGATATCCCTACCACTTCTAGGACATGTTTGATAAAGGTGAAAATTACATTTTGTAATGTTTTCCAAATGTTGAAAACATTCTTTAAATAATCTAAATTCTAGCCCTAAACTCAGTATGCTTTTTTATGTTAAAAGGACTGCATATAAGCATATGGCTTGGCTGATGGTAAGCTTCCACCATAGCCGCATATAATATGAGGAGTTGGCGAACAAAACAGTACCTATAATTACGCATCTACTCATTTTTTTTACAGTCCAATTGTTTTGGGCCTGCTGAATTTGAATCTCAACTCATTTTCAATCAAAACCACCTAAAAAAGTGTTAAATTACCAAAGTAATTAGTTAGAAAATATGCCAAAAGCTCACTGCAGGTGTGTCATTCAGTTTTTTACGATTCCTGTAAAATTTCTTTTTGGAGTGAAACTTCTTTAGGCACTCTTGACTTGGGGGTAAACTATCAAGAATGTGTGACGATTTTTGCTTTACGCGCGTAACGCGTAACTGGTGACTCAGCGGTAAACAATGAACAATACGCGTCACAATATACATGAATAGTTCATGAATCAAAATACTAGTGCTTGGTGGGTGATAACGGTCCCAGCGCGGATTGGTGGGTGATAATGAACCCAGTGCGGATTGGAGGGTGATAAAGGACCCAGCGCGGATTGGAGGGTGATAAAGGACCCAGCGCGGATTGGTGGTTTTTTTGTCTATCAACAAATCTTCAGGTTAAGTTTATGATTTTCAGAACATTGGAGTTAAACAAGTTTCACTTCAGTCGTGTGGTCATAAGTACACTCGATTTTTGAAGTTATACTTCTTTAGGCGCGTTATGAAAAAATGATGAGAGTGAAATTTTAAGATGCGCGCGCATCACTGTAACACAAAATTTTAACAGCATGAAGTTGGTCGCTAATGCGTTACTTTTGTGTTTACCGCACATTGAGAAAATCTACCAACAAAATAGAAATAGAATCTCTATTTAGTGGGTGCTTACGCCTGCATTGTGAAGGCCTATCAAAAGTATTTATTAATCTGGAACAACGGAACCAAAGCGCGATTCAGGAGACTACAGCGCCATCTCTTGACCATTGGTGTAGTACAACCAAAAAACACATCTTTATTTTTTGTAATTAAGTAACAGTTATAGGTATTCATATTTATAATATTTATCCACATGTTTCTAGTTTGTATATTCGGAATACGTGTTTGAGTTTCATACAAGTGCAAATCACATATGTTCTAATAAATTATATTCAGTAGCGATTTTAATTGAATATTTTGATTATTTATTTATTTTTTCAAATTAAAACTGAACTTTATTGACTGTGTCCTTTTCCAGACTTTTTATTAATTTATTGTAATTAATTATTTGCATGCAATTAAAAACTAATTTTAAACGATGCCAAAGAAGGATAACTTCTCACGCGCCTACATAAGTACACGCACCCATTTTTTTTGTAACAATGCCGTTTTGTTCGCCACCTCCTCAAATCATTCGCACCCTGCTTACTCTGACCCCCTACCCTGTGGAGCCCAAGAACCTTAGTGTCGCCGCACACGGGCCACACTCCACAGCCACAAACGCCGCCACGAGAAGCTAGAAGCGGATACTAAAGTGGCTAAAGTGCGTGACAGCGGCCGACTAAGGCAAGGCAGAGAGCGGTGGAGATTCGCGCGAATGACGTGTGGCGGCGTTTTGTATCGGCGCATTAAGTAGCCGCTGCGGGCCACAAGAAGCTAGCAACGACGATTTGTAGCGTGTGCTGGCTACCGGCGTATCGTGTGTGGCAAGTCCATATAAAATGTATGAAAACTACAAGAAATATGCCGGTGGCCGCGTTTTGCGGTTGTGGTCGGTGGCCCGTGTGCGGCGACACTTATTCACAGCCAAAAACACAGCGCCACCAAAACGTACAGTTATTTTATTGTTGTCTTCTGTAAGGAGGAGGTTACTTGCTCAGACGGGCGCTCCAATTCAAGCGGAAAATCCGCTATGCTTAATATCCTAAATTTTTAAGGGAAACTTACGTGTTCATTACACAGACTTCTCGCAAGGTCTGTTGGAAACCACAAACCTCTAAATGAAGCGGCCAAATTAAAGTACATATTAATTTATTGGAACGAAGTTCCTTACGGCAGGCTTGGAGGGGATAGGGATTTTGCTGCGCGACCGAACTGAAAAAAATGTGATAGTAAAACCGTAAGAAAAAATCCGTGGAAAAAAGTGCGTGGAATAAAACCGTTAAATGAGACGTGCGCAGGCGCGACAGTCGCATACACAAGCGAGTTTGCAATTTGTGTCGATTCTACATTAGCCGAAGGAACTTCGTTCCTACCTGGTGTCCCACGACACCACATCATTTTTTTTTAATTTTGAGAAACCAACAGCAACACAAATATATATTACATAATTGAACTTGGTAATAAGAATGGCCAATAGGTTTCTACGAATTAAATTGGATATTATTACTGGCGTTGTGCAGGCTAAACTAAGGTAACATGTATATATCATGCATATTTTAATGCCAGGTCGCGTAAGACCGTTGCAAAGCGGCTATTCATCATCATCATCAGCATATTAATATCCCTACTGCTGGGGCACAGGCCTTTTCCCTATGGATGGATAGAGGGATTGGGCTTTGCCCCACCACGTGGGCCCAGTGCGGATTGGTGGGTGCTAACGGCTGCAGATGCAGCCGGGACCAACGGCTTAACGTGCCTTCCGAATCACGGAGGAGCTCGAAATAGTAAATTTTTTGGTCACGCATCCAATGACCGACCACTGCGAAAGTTGCTTAACTTCAACGATCGCAGCCGAAGCGGCTATTAGCGTTGATATTTTAATTTGGAAATTATTTGTGTTTTGACAACGCTTTAAATACTTGAGAAAATGTCTGTACCACTAAAAAGTTTGTTAATATAAGACAGGTAACCGAGGCAGAATTGGATTTGCTTCATACAAACGATTAATTAACGAAATATTATAACGATAACCCGAGGAGCTCGATGGCGCAAGTGGGTAGCGCGTTCGGCTGCGATCGTTGAAGTTAAGCAACTTTCGCATGGGGTCGGTCATTGGATGGGTGACCAAAAATTTACTATCTCGAGCTCCTCTGTGCTTCGGAAGGCACGTTAAGCCGTTGGTCCCGGCTGCATGTGCAGTCGTTAGCACCCACCAATCCGCACTGGGCCCGCGTGGTGGGTCATGACCCAATCTCCCTATTCCATCAGGGAAGGCCTGTGCTCCAGCAGTGGGGACATTAATAGGCTGATGATGATGATGATATAACGATACCTATTAAATGTGATAGGCGATAAGCAATTAAATATGTTAAAATATTTAAAATGCACGTTTGTATTCCCATCATATATGACGATCTCACTTTCGTTTCTATCTAGTATAAGTATATCTCACGTAAACGATGAAGTTACTCTTAAGATATATAAACATTATATAGTAGTTACATATCAACATCATAGTCAGTCCATAAATCATAAAAATGACATAATAATATTGAATTATACTAAAATATTACGGTCCGTGGAGGTTTTGAAGTAAAACTTATTTTCGGATGGGGTGTAAATGGAAAAATCCTATGAAAAAGATGAAACGGAAATGAGTTACGAGCGTCACACTAATATATATGTTTTGTTGTGTTTATATATATTTATATATATACATATGTTTGTGTGTTTGTGTTGTTCTTATATTTAAAATTCTCGTGTCACAATGTTAGTTACCATACTCATCCTCCCCCCTCCTCGAATCGGCTACTATCTATTTTTCATAATTTCATTTATGGCGGTACGAAGTTCTCTGGGTAAGCTAGTGTGTATATACGCAGTCAGGTCATAAGTATTGTCACACAGTAAAAACTTTTCTTTTAGAATGCTGGCCACAAAAAAATTTATTGAATTCCAATTTCGAATTGTTCATGAAAATAAAAATGCATACTTTAAAGAATTTTACTCATTTTTAAATAGGGAGTGGACGCTTAAAGAAGACCGTGTTGCAGTTATTGCTTTTAGTACAGTCAATCTGTAGGTTGAGTGGTGAAAAAAAAACCTAAAGGGTAAGTCTTGTTTTTTCTGTTGCCAAATGACGTCAGTAAGTCACCTTGGCGATGGGCATGTTCAACTCGTAGGCGTTTTTTGAAAAACTCGAAAAAACCGTCAAAAATTTTTTGTAACGCATTTTTCTTGTTTTGTATGCATTTTAGAAACTTTTTTTTCAACCATAATTGTAGAGGGCATTGAGTGCTACAATTTATGTCATTGTTGCAATCTCGTACAACAAAAAATGCGCATTGTAGGTGGCGCTAAAGTCTCAAAAAAAGTGTTTTTTCACTTTTTCACCCTGAAAATATCATTTTAATGGAAAATTTTAAATGGCTAAGTTGTTTCGTACATAATTACCAACAACTTTTGTATAAACAATTTTTTTGTATTACTTACCGTTTTCAAGTTATTAATTGCGCAGGTATGAAAAATCCAATAGAGCGGTTTTGGGCAGTTCAAGTACACATTTGCAGTGCACATTTCAATGTACGTACTTACTTACCCTTTAGGTTTTTTTTTTCACTGAAACGATATTTTTTTCGACAGATTGACTGTACTATTTGCATCGTTGCGGTTACGTGCCAATTCAAATTTTTGACATACTGAAAAATTTGAATATATCCAAAAGATTCGTTTATCGTACCATCAAACGATACAATGAAGACTCTAGTGTAGATAACAAGTCGAGAAGTGGTCGCCCTCGGTCTGTTAGGCCGAGCAGTGATAAAAGCTGTGAAGGCGCGAATTCAAAGAAATCCCAAACGTAAGCAGAAACTGTTGGAACTTCAGATGGGATTAAGCAGAACCACGGTGAAAAGGGTGTTAAATGGCTTCGGGCATATCGAAGAAAAACAGGATATCGTTTGAATGCTCGTCTAATGGAACTGAGACTGAAGAGATGCCGCGCTTTGCTGAAGCGGTACGCGGGAAAAAAATATCGGGAAATTCGGGTGAAAAAATGTTTACCGTACAATACAGCTACAACAAACAAAATGGTGAGGTGTACGCACACAGTAGTGAAGAAGCGAGCAACCGTATTCCGCGTGTCCAACGAGGTCATTTTCCATCCTCGCTCATGGTATAGTTGGGATTTTCTTATTGGGGCTTAACAGAGGTACATTTTTGTGAGAATGGTGTAAAAACGAATGCAGTTGTGTATCAGAATACAGTCCTGACGAACCTTGTGAAACCTGTTTCTCATACCATGTTCAATAATGGGCACTGGGTATTCCAACAAGATTAGGCGCCAGCTCATAGAGCGAAGAGCACACAAGACTGGCTTTCGGCGCGTGAAATCGACTTCATCCGGCACGAAGACTGGCCCTCCTCCAGTCCAGATTTGAGTCCGTTAGATTACAAGATATGGCAACACTTGAAAAGGCGTGCTCAAGACATCCTTGATTATAAGGCAGCCGCCGATATTGACATGGACCTCGTTCGTGCTGCGATAGACGACTGGTCATTTTGAATAAACTTTATTGTCATAAGAATCTTTGTTTTGTTATGTTCATTTTGGTATATAAATGGTTACATCATGAATAAACTTGTATTAATTATTTTATATTAAACATGTGACAGAATTTATGACCTGACTAGATATATAGGAAAAATACTGAGTACCTATTACCAGAAAATAAGTTACGCAACTCAGACAATTACATGGATTTAAGCACTTGTTCCAAATGATCGGAATCTATTTGTGTTAGAGTTTCAAAGAAGCAATTATTTAATGAGTGCCAATTGCGTAATTGTTAAGAAGAGCTCCGCTTTAATGAGAATTGCTCAAATGTCTCGCCATTTGCGAATTAGGTACTTCTGTTGAGCATTTCATATTATGTAAAAATACCGGCCAAGTGCGAGTTGGACTCGCACACGAAGGGTTCTGTACCATTATTTATTGTTTAAATACGGAACCCTTCGTGAGCTTATTGTTGTTCATTATACACTATATCACGTCTGTTGTATGGGAGCCCCCTATTAAAAAATATGTAAATAATAATTTATTTCCGAAACTGTTCATATTTAGTTAGTAACATTGTTTTTATTTAATTATTGAAGTGAAACATGTTTATGCACGCTTGACTTCGGGGGTATATATATTAAATATAATAATAATATGTATTAAATTTTAAAAATAAAAAACGAGTGTGCTTATGACCACACGACTGAAGGCAGACACAAACAATTATATATAAACTAAATATTCTGTGGATATTTTAAGCGTCTGCATGTTGTCCCCGTTAATATAGGGCAAAACAGCCATCAAGTTCATGAGATAATGAGATACAACCTGGTGACAGACAGGCAGAAGCAGTCTCAAAAATAGGACCCCGTTTTTACCCTTTAGGTACGGATCCCTAAAAAATGTTACATTAACCTCTCTCTTTTTAGCGATCCGCTACAGCTAATTGATTAATTAATTAATTGGAATATAATGAGAGCTGTTAAGATTTCTGTAAAAAAAAATCACCATCTTGATTTTTGTATATGGATAAGATCGATTTTCGGGTGGATTTTCTAAAAAAAAACTCGAGTATAAAATAGTTTTTCCCGTAGCGTAAAATTAACTTAAACATATGTATTTGAAGTACAGGCAAAATCATAATGCGATCTGAGTAGTCTTTTTTGTTTTTTCACAAGAGTTTTAATTAAAAACCTCTTTACGAATTAAGAACATGCATGCAACCGAACTTTTTTGGATGGCTCGCGCCAACGCAGCCTCAAAATCCACGCATCTAGAGCGAAAACTATTAAAAAAATAAGGTCGTACTTTTTAAAAACAAATCAAAGGTTGCATTCGGACACATGCCGCGTCACGACAATAATCAGACCATGAAATCATAATGTGTGTATGCAATATTTGTGTCTCCACAGATGTAGCACAAGCTCGCGTAGACAATCACGAAAGAATTCATGCTGGAGACCGGATGTGTAACAGTCATTCTATGTTTCGGCGGTATATTGTGAAATTTTTATGTGTAACTATAACAATAGATTCTATTTTTGCAACTTTGGTGAGCTTGCATGGTTCAAATATTTTAAGGCTAGTGCGGTAAAGATACAACACTGCTCTACTCTCCAAGTAACATCAACTTTCAGCAATGATTCTTTTAAAATGCCCGAGTTGCTAAAAGAAAAGACAAATGTTTCGTGTTTTAGTCGGTGTAGGACCAAAGTTTCAGCACAGTTAATTACTGTGTTTTATTAACCGTCTGCGATGAGGATATAGCGACTTCCAAAAAAAATCCTTTATTTTGTCTTGATTTTGATGATTCTTTGCCACGAATAGCGGTAGGGTTACCATAGTTATAACTTTGGTAAATTGTAATAATAAATAATTTAAGAAATATGCAATGGAATAGAATCTCAGGCGATAAACAATCAATCAATTTATTATACTTAGCATAATTAGCAATTCCAGCGGAAAATATGCTACCTATACCCTACCTGCTCCTTTCTCTTGTGGAATGCTGACAACATTAGTGCAAAGACATAATCACTACTTTATTATCTAATTATAGCATCATACGTCCACAACTTGGATTAACTGCTTAATTTAGAAATACTTTTTTTTAATGCTTAATACATAGGCAAGGCGTTTTACCACAATCTCGCCTGATGGAAAGCGATGATGATGCCTAGGATGGTACACGCCTGCCTAGAAGATGCCTGTTCACTCTGGCCTTGAAGATGTCCAGATTATATTGGTCCGGAAAAACAGACTGACAATTTTGGGATGATAATAATTCACTGCTATTGAAATTTTGCTATAATTGGAAGTTATTATATTGGTCTGCAATTGTTTAGAGTACTTTTTCTATTTTATAATTAACCCTTATAAGATCATTTTGTTGTTCATCTGTCTGTCAATACTCAATGTATTAATCTAATATATAAAATTCTCGTGTCGCGGTGTTTGTGGTTAAACTCCTCCGAAACGGCTTTCCCGATTCTCATGAAATTTTGTGTGCATATTGGGTAGGTCAGAGAATCGGACAACATCTATTTTTCATCCCCCTAAATGTTAAGGGTAATCCACCCCTAATTTTTTTTTTAAATTTTATATATTTTTTTTTGAATTTTTTTATGATACAGCATTAGTAAATACATACAACCCTAAAGTTTCACCTTTCTACCACCAACCCCTATTTTTTTTGGCGGTACGAAGTTCGCTGGGCCAGCTAGCTATAAAATAATATTAATATATCAATAATATATCTCGAGAACGCGCAAAAGATCTACGGTCCCATGAAGCTGTGGAAAAATCAAACTACTGAATTAACGTGAAAAGAGATACGGCCGTTTATCTATCTATCAAGGCCTTTAACACACGTGCAGATATCGAGTTGAAATTTTAACCAAATACTTAGGTCTATGGTCTATCGAAGCTGTGAAAAATTCACATTAACCTCGGTGGGCGAATCCACTCGCACTTGCCCGGTTCTTTTAATTCAATTGCTTAATAAATTGGTTAATAAATCTTAAAGTTACATGTATTAATGAAAATGGAAAGTATTCACGTTTGCATTTATAAGCGCAATGTTTATTATTTAAGATTTAAAAAATCTTGACACTTATATTATATTTTTTAAATTTTCCTATTGCAACACACACCGCACTTACCGACCAGCCACATCTTATTTGAAAATAGAAAAAAAACGATTTTTTTTAAACCACAAACCTCAATCACATAACCCTGTCGGGGCTGACGCACAAACCGTGCAAGCCAATATAAAAAAAAAACTCTATCACCCACACCTCCCCCACACGATTAAGTATTTCGCGCTATTTTTAAAATCTGTTTTTAAAGAATTCTGTTTTGTTTTTGTTTTTTTCACACGTGCTTTTTAATTTAGCATCATCGCGACACTGGTGATACCGCTGTCACAGACAAGAGAGCATTCGCACCTAACTAGGTGGGGTGCTAAACATTGCATTGAAAAGTGAACGTTCTCAGACGAAACTTCTTAATGCCATTAAAGTAATTGATTGAAAAATAAAGAAGGTGTAAATATTAAATAGAAGCCTTCATGATCACAAGAAATTCGGTACAATCTTAGATAGGTGTATCACTTTTTATTCTAAACTAGTGGGTGACCTAAACTTGGTCTTCGTGGGAATATCGGTTTCCAATACAAACCACGCGGGCCAGATGTGGATTGGTGGGTGCTAACGACTGCAGATACAGCCAACGGCTTAACGCGCCTTCCGAAGCACGGAGAAGCTCGAGATAGTACATTTTTGGCCACCCATCCAATGACTGCACATTACAAAAGTTTTTTAAATTCCACGATCACGAACAGAACGCAATTAGCAGCTGGGTCACTGATCTCCTCTTACCTAATATCTCTCTTATCTTCTCCTACTGCACTCTAAAATTATTATAATAACGATACTTTGTCATAAAAATGTTGAGAACGCCACCTGGCGCCAGAGAGAGGTTCAGTGAGAGCGCGGGAAAGCTGGTTCAGGTGTTCTGGTCTTACTTTTTAATTTTTATATTTAGAACATGACATTCACCGTTCGGTAGCTGCATCTAGATTTGTGGATTAGGACGCCATTTGCATGTTACATTTTAACTGTGGCAACATTGTAAGTTTTTGTCGAAATCTATATTTTAAAAAATCAATTGCTGTTCGTTGGTCTCGCTAAAACTCAAGAATGGCTGAACGGATTTATCTTATCTTGGTCTTGAAATGTTCGTGGAGGTCTAGGGAAGGTTTATTAGGTGAGGAAAATTCGAATAATAGCCGGGAAACCCCTAAAAACAACGAGCGAAGTCGCGGGCAAAAGCTTCTTTATTATAATTATATCCCTGGTTGTTTTTCGTTGTTTTGTTAAATAATAGAGGAAGTTCACCAAATATTGTGAGACTTTTCAAAAGTAAATTGTCCTTGATTGGCTTTGATTTAAGTAGATTAGCAGATGTTTGTATTACACAATAAAAATATAAAAAACCGACAAGAGCGAGACGGACTCGCACACCGAAGGTTTCGTAGAAATTTTTAGGAACAGCAATTAAACGATAACTCTTTTTACGTTAATTTAGAAGTATGAGTTTGATTTACAGATTAGCGGCATGGTGGGAGTACTACACAAGGTACAAGGTGGCCTTATGTTATTTATTTATTTTATTCTTCATGCACATACTATATACACATACACACACACATATACATCCACACATCATTTCATACATTACATATTAATTTAAATATTATACTCATAGACGCCTTGCTTTTAAAATGAATTGCTACCTATTGATCCTTTCACTTATGAGATATGTATTTAGTCTAGTTTAGTACTCACATGTCTGTGGGGGTTTATGGCGCTGAAAGCTGAAATACAAGCATTGCCTAGTTCAGCAGCAGAGGCTAATAAAATATACTTTCTGTATAACTAGTGCTAAGTTTGTTACGTAATCTTACTGTACTGATTTTTTTGGTCAGTAATTTTATTATTATTATACTGTAAAATCGCAGACTTAATGCTGTAGGCATTCTCTACCAGTGAACCATAGGGTGTTGTGGAGATTTTAGTGGTAGGTTGCACAACTGAGATGGAGATCACAATTTTAGTTATTCTGCCACGCTCGATTAATCTCAAAATCCTCGCTTGCGCATCCACTTCTATCAGAGTCAAATCTACCGAATTATAAAGCGGTTATCCTCAACGTGTTTAGTTTGGATAAAAATATATGGTTATCTAAGTGATATCATTTTTAATCGAATATAGCTGACAGCCCACTACGCCGGACTAAAATATGTGCACACCCATGATATGAATATCAAGTGAAAGGGTTTGTTGAGAAGAATACGAATAAACTAACATGTGTAACATATGTCTTCTTTTTAGATCATTCAAATAAAAGCTTGTTTTTATAAAGTACATGGTAAAGTTTTGTATGAGCGATTGCCCTGGCAATGTATAAATACTGTACTCGTAAATGGCTGAATATTTATAATTTCTATGAAAAAAGGCTAAGGAACTTTTGATAAAGCCACAATCTTGAAAATTATGAAAACTCTTTCTATGTCATTACCTTGATAAAAGATGTTGCCAATTACATATTTACAGAGTCATCATTTTCTCAAAATCTTTCTTCACATTTATCTGATAAACTGTTTTTTAAAGCAAAAATAATAAATACAAATAATTTGTTATCGTCGGCCTGACAGGAAATCTGTGAAGTTTTATTTTGTCCATTTGCAAAAATTAAAGGATTAAATCTTACACAGCCTTCTCTCAAGCCTGATCAGAATAACAAAAACTATTATTGAAGTTATACTTCTTTAGGCGCGTTATGAAAAAATGATGATAATGAAATTTTAAGATGCGCGCGCATCACTGTAACACAACTTCATGCTGTTACTTTTGTGTTTACCGCACATTAAGAAAATCTTCCAACAAAATAGAAATAGAATCTCTATTTAGTGGGTGCTAACGACTGCATTGTGAAGGCCTATCAAAAGTATTTATTAATCTGGAACAACGGAACCAAAGCTCGATTCAGGAGACTACAGCGGCATCTCTTGACCATTGGTGTAGTAGAACCAAAAACCACATCTTTATTTTTTGTAATAAAGTAACAGTTATAGGTATTCATATTTATAATATCAAAAGTATTTATTAATCTGGAACAACGGAACCAAAGCGCGATTCAGGAGACTACAGCGCCATCTCTTGACCATTGGTGTAGTAGAACCAAAAACCACATCTTTATTTTTTGTAATAAAGTAACAGTTATAGGTATTCATATTTATAATATTTATCCACATGTTTCTAGTTTGTATATTCGGAATACGTGTTTGAGTTTCATACAAGTGCAAATCACATATGTTCTAATAAATTATATTCAGTAGCGATTTTAATTGAATATTTTGATTATTTATTTATTTTTTCAAATTAAAACTGAACTTTATTGACTGTGTCCTTTTCCAGACTTTTTCTTAATTTATTGTAATTAATTATTTGCATGCAATTAAAAACTAATTTTAAACGATGCCAAAGAAGGATAACTTCTCACGCGCCTACATAAGTACACGCACCCATTTTTTTATATATGTCATAGTTTGAAGAAGTTAAGAAATAATATTGTTTGTTTCGATATACTTACACAAATATTTTTCGTGTAGGTACATGTATTGTTTATTTTATTTGTAAAATGGAACTATTTGCTTTTGAAACAGACATGAAGTAAATTTTTATACTTTTAAATATTTGATTATATAATTTCACGAAAGTTATATGAGAATAATAAACACGTAATAATTAATAAAAAAATATTGGGCTAGTGCGAAATATTTATATACGTTAAGGGCAGTTTCTCAGCTATACCCTTTATTACTGGCTGTTGGCCCGTACATTTTGAGTTAATTTACGTTCTCGATATTTTTTGTTGCTTGATAATTAGCATAACTACGCGTTTCTTTGCTCGAGACACGAAACAAAAGACGCTAAAAGAGTTCTCTACAACATTCTTATTTCTACCGTCATCACCTGACAAGATTCCCCTAACAAAAACTATACTGGACAGCAGTATATCTCTTTAGATAATAAGAGAAAGATCGCTGCCAAAACAAACACCAAGTTCAGAATCATCATCATCAGCCTATTAATGTCCCCACTGCTGGGGCACAAGGCTACCCTATGGATGGAATAGGAAGATTGGGCCATGATACACCACGTGGGCCCAGTGCGGATGTGCGGGTGCTAACGATTGCAGATGTAGCCGGGACCAACGGCTTAACGTGCCTTCCGAAGTTTAGAATATCATAGCAGAATTAGGGGCTATCGTTGTTTATTAGTGATTTGTGCCTTGCTTCAGATGGCACGTTAAGATGTCGGTCCCAGATGCATCTGTGGTCGTTAGCACCCACCAACCCGAACTGGGCCCGCGTGGTGGTTTATGGCCCAATTTCCCTATTCTATCCATAGAGAAGGTTTGTGCCCTATCAGTGGGGATATTAATAGGCTGATCATGAGGTTAATTATTAGTTACCTATGTTTTTAGTTGTATTTTTATTTTTTAAGCATTTAACTGTTAGATTATGGTCCGCGTGCTATTTTTTTGGTAAGATTGAAATCTTTTTTTTATTTTTATAACTTATTTAGAAAGTCTAAGGTCAGTCTATGCCTTCGATTGAATAGGAAGATGATCACTTGTCTATGGTGCCAGTTTTTCCATTCGTTCTGGTTTTTATTAAATGTTAACTTTAATTAAAAACAAAACTGCGTTATCGTTATCGCAATTACAACACTAACCTACAATTTTAACGGGCGTGTATTCGTGTGAATACATTTGTGTTGTTATATAACCGGTATTATAGATGTTACGTCGAATAACGTGAAGTGCGGAGAAAGCGCTCGGTTTTGGACGCAACTCGCGCGGTGTTCACACTGACCTTGAGATAGTATCAGATTCGGTCGAAATTATTACTTTAGAAAAATATGTATTACTTATCATGAGAAGGGAAATAGCCTACCAGAACTAGTTATAAATACAATTTTATACTTTTACGTTTGACATGCAGGAATATGTATTAAAGACAAAAAAAGTTAAAACGTCTACAAATACATAAAATCATCCAAGCTGTTAAAGGTGTTTTTGGGATTTGTGAAATAAATAAAAAAATAATACAAAAACATCTCACTTGGAGTCATAAGTTTCAAGATATTTACAGGTTTAAAATAGACACAGAACTTAGTTGATTAATGGATGACCGGGCATAGTAAACGGGGTGTTTACTTAGGCAAAGCGGATAGGTATATTTGTATTTAAAAACGATTCTCCCAAGACGCTCCCGCCACTGCCTTTAGTCGTACACAACTACTTGTTTAGCTCTAAAGCTATCTCAAAATCAG